TGTCATATAAGATGCATTCTTGTGGAATTCGTTAAAAAGTAAATAGGAATGCTTTCAATTAATGTTTTGTACGTAACAAAAGTAATACCTTACATTTGTACTATTTCTGACAAATTACTGAATTCAATATATATCATTACAATGAAAGTACAAGTTTCGTAATTTTCATTGTTCGCAATTTATATTACATATTGGTGGATCACAAATCTTATTGTTTTTCTTCCTTACAGATTACAGACAATAAACTAAATATTTATATATGTATATTTATACATATTGATATTTTGTACCAAATATCTAGTTCCACATTGTAAGTTGTTATTAAAGTCGTATATACATATATTCTGGTCACAATATAGGTTTCTATCTTTACGTGAGGCCAGACGTTTGTTTATATTAGTATTATTATTGAGAAGACAATTTAAGATACAGCTTTTCTTCTTAGCATAGTATCCTTATCTTTAAAATTCAATAAAATTTCGTCTAAAAGTGCTATTAACAAAGGATTACCTCCAAGACGTTCTATCTCATTTCTTGCTTTCTTATCTAATTCTTCGAGCACAGTTTCTGTATATGCAAAAGAGCCAAATTTTTCTAATAAATTAATGCAGTAACGTTTTACATCGATGTCCTTAGTCCGCTGCCTCAAGATATCTTTATGACAGTCTATTAAGGAATAACGCTTCAATTTCTCGTGAATAGATTGTGTTACATTATCTAGATCCAAGCGAAGGATACTCATCAGTTGTCTATCTTCAGGATGACTTTGTATCGCATGAATTATGGGAAAACTGAATTTCCCTTCAGACAAGTCTTCACAAAAGCTCTTATTTTCAGCATACTATAAGATTGTTACATCATATTATAGCAATAATATACATTGTTCTGCTGTACTTACCTCCTGAAGGAGTAAATTAGAATAATCGTCACGAATTTGAAAATAAAGTCCTATAATTCCTGCTAAAGGTGTGAAATCCTCTTTGCAATTTGAAAACAATTGCATTAAGCGGACAGCTAGATTAAAAAGTCCACCAGTTTCTATAATATATTAATTAGCTCCAATACCTTGCCTTTGTAAAACGATTAATGTCATTTTTATATTATGATTTCAAACTTACTGCGAATAGTCATCTGTCTATAAGCAGTTTCAGAAGGACAAATATAGTTATCTCTCCAATAAATTTCCATACCTTGACCTCTATGAAGTTCCAATAACTGTTCTACATATACTTGCGTACCCTAATAATAATAAAAATAATATTATATCAAACGTTACCTTGGAAAAAGAAACTTTATTCTTGTTTCTCTTTACCTCTGGATGATTTAAAGCAATAACCTTCTCCAAGGCGATGAACAATACATAATTTGCAGCATTTATTGTACTAGCTATTCCATAAATATTGTGTGCTACAGGAATACCTCTTCTTAAGACTGAATTATCTTGAATATCATCAATTCTGAAAAAGTCATATATTAATCAACCAAACATAAAACAAATGTAGCAAAATCTAAACGAATGATGCCTTTAAACTTACAAGAGGCTGGAAGTATGAAGCATTTGAATTATATCTCCAACGGCTTGAAGCTTATCCTGCGGTATTTTCAACCAGTAATTGAAAGCTTGTGCTAATTTTGCTCTGACCTGTTTACCAGGCACTTGTAGAATATAACTAAATGGTTCCAATAATATCTACAAAATAAATAACTCTAAACTATAAAACGCAAAATTGTCTGACTAGTGAAAATTAGGGGTAGTTATGCGTAGCTTAAAAATCAGAGAGATATCAACAAACAAGCATATACTACTAATACATTGAAAATGATGTATCCTGAAACATCTTGTTTAGGTACCTCGTTGTTAATTATTTTTATATGATTAAAATTTATAACACATCTTATACTATCTAAAACTTTATTCAGTAGAATTTCAAATGCCAATATATATATATAAAATAGACAGCTTCACACTATATTGCTCATTTGATTGTATTGTCACTTTGACAGATCTGTAACCTTAGCGGACACAAGCTCAGATCACCGGTAAAACTAACCTCATCTTCTTCCTTATCACCGGCTGCCGAGTACGGTATATTTTTTTTGTTTTCCATTCTGCGATCAAACTCGAAAAACAATAGCGAGTGTAACAATAATCACGAAAATGTTATAAAATACAATCGATAAAGACTACACGTGAAAATCAAACTTCTGTATCGACTTATCGTATCACTCGCGCTCATTCAATTCAATCATCGTCTGCTATATGTATAGTCACGTTGCGCTGAGAGAATGACGCGTTTCAACTGATTTCAATCTAAGATTATATTCTAATGAAGGTCGTTAAATGTTTAATTCTTGTGTAGATTATTATCATTCTAGACCTGATGTTTTACTTCTGAAACATAAATTTGTATTTTTAATTATCCTAGTACTGCATAAATCTTTTGAAATGTATAATTCAGAGTTTCGAACGAATGCTGAAGATGTCACTGTTAAACAACATTGATAAACAGAGATAATGTAATAAAGATGAAGCGTAGATTTTTTATCACACTAACTAAAAATGTTATTTAATGAATTTCGTTACTACTTAATGTGTATGTAAAAATATATGCACATGAAATATATCTTTCATGCAGGGGGTTGACAACAGTTATGATATCGGTTTCGATTCTCGACACAGTTACGAAGAATCGAAATATTCTCATAACTGTTATAAGGTATATCGGTTTCTCTCGGTTTCGGTTCTTCAGAACCGTTATATTATATCGGTTCTATAACTGTTATTTTTCGGTTATGCATTTTCGTTCTAATTCTATTTCACGTAACAAATACATTGTATTTTCGTTGGGTATTAAAAGTATGAATTCTGAAATACTTTGTATCGGGTTGGCAACTAAGTAATTGCCGATTTCAGTTATAGATGTCTCTCACTCCCATATTTATGATATCCGTAAATGTTATATTATAAAATTATTATTATTATTATTATGTTATTTTTTATTATCCGTGAATGTTAGTTAATTTCAGTTATAGATGTCTCTCACTCCCATATTTATGATATCCGTAAATTTTATATTATAAAATTATTATTATTATTATTATTATCATGTTATTTTTTATTATCCGTGAATATTAGCAACTGGACAAATTGAATGCAGCGGTCAAGGAAAAGCGACCAGAATTGGTCAATCGTAAAGGTGTGATTTTCCAGCAGGAC